AGGGACTATCAAAAGTATAAGCAGAATTTTTGAGAAATCTTTGCCACAAGAACATCTGAACTGAACATTACAAATCAGCTGTCCTGTCTTCTTTACCCATCAAAGGCTCAGCAACTTGAATATATTTTCTTCCTTTATTTTTCTTTCTTTCTTAAGAAAGAAAGTATTGATCCAGACCCACAGTCATAAGACTCGCTCCAGTCTTGCTTCAAAAATCACTCCATTATCTTGATGGAAAAAAGTATCTGGATTTTCAGCTTGGTGAGAAATTTTTTTTTCTTTTTTTTTTTTTTTTTCCACAAGCTTCAGAATTACAAGTGCTGTAGCAAAGTTAGCCTAATGGATTAACCCTCCCATGTTGCCTTAGGAAAACCTTAAGCAACCTGGTGGAAATGCAGCTGTATGGATCCACAAGGACTTCTAGAATACTCAACTCAGCAGGAAACACACAGAATCAGATCTGCAGTTGTTTTTTTTTTTTTTTTGTTGTTGTTGTTGTTTTTCGTTTTTTCTTTTAATCAATATTGCCCAGAGTCCATCAGCCACAGGCAGATTAGACTACTTACCAAGCTGTGAAAAAACTTGTTGCTTCAAATAGGAAATGAGATTAATCTAAAAGGGAAAAATTCAAAATTGTCCCTACTTCTCTGAAAATACAGTGAAAACAACGAAGGGCTCTAATTTTAGAAACAAAACATGTTAACAATTCACAAATGGATATCTCTCTCCAGTTATGGCATTACAAACTCCTTAGACTTGTGTCATCCCATCCGCATTTGGGCATTTCAGTGCATGTACTAAATTTGAAGTTTAGCCATACGGGAGTCCTTTTCAAGTCAATGAACTAAGACCAACATTTCCAGAGACCTTTTGTGGACTTAACTTCTTTTTCCAGGCATTTATCTTCTGATTCTTATGTGAGATCTGATCACTGGGGGTTCCCTTCTCAATATTTCATTTAAGCATCCAGAGCTGAGAGGGATGAAACTGTTCAATTATGTGTAATGTACACTTCCACCAAAAGATTAAGTTTGCTATCCCATTAATACATGAAAGAGATCAACAATACAGAGTTTTTGACAATACATAGAGCAAACGAAAATGATGCAGGCAATTATTCATAGATTTTTTCCTTTGCAATAAAAATCTGTTAAGGAAAGAACATGAGCGAGTCTCTTAGACACAACTTCCACCCCTAAATATCAAAAGGTGATCAGTTCTCCAGATCCATTTCTCAGCACCACACTGAAATGCTCAGGATGTGTAATAATGGCATTTTCAATTTCTTAACTGGAGATTAAGTAACCCATAAAATGCTTTACCTCTTTTTTTCCACTGGCTGCCATAAACACAAACGGATTGTTTTGAAGCCTGGCAAACTGGTACAGTCTAATCCATTTTAGTTCCTAGAAACTTTTATTGCAAAATCTCAAATATGCACAGATGAAATGAAGAAGAATCACCACCCATCCCAAAGATATGGGATAACTGACAGATGACTATTCAAAACAAAGCTGTAGTGTTGTTAATAGCAATATTGCTATATTGGGTATATTAGATTTTAATAACTTGAAGCTATGGAAGAAAGCCACTGGAATAGAATATTCTAATGCTAGAATATTTCAAACTTAGTTCTCAGTCAGTGTACACAACCAATCTCCCCATGATGATTCTGTGACTGAAAAGGCAATAAGTAGTTTAGAGCTCCCAGTGGAAGAATAGAGAAATCTAAAACTCAGAATTCTTCTAGCAGCTGCAGAAATAGTTTTATTGTAGAGCTGGGCTGGTTTTAACTTGCAGTGTGCTGGCCAAGAGTCTTTAAGTATTAAAATCTACAAAATATCTTGTCTATGCAGGCGGGTGAATGCTCCAAAGTAACTAGGTGTGATCTGCTTCCAATGAGGCAGCCCAACAACCAGGTTAGCACAGGACTCTACTTGATCTAGCAAAGGGATAGGTTTGTGAAGCTTGAGACACATTAACAGATGCCATAAAATGAACTTCCAAGGAAGGGTCACCATTTGAGCTCTTTGAGAAGCCTGCTGAAATCATTTGGGAACAAATAAAAGCAACTAACATCAGAACATAAATATTCATATCTTGATGTAAGCAATATATTTCTCCACAGGAAGCCCAACTGAAATCAGCTATTGGCAGAAGAGAGGGTTCTGTACAAGGTAGTAGAACCTGCCCTATAAAAATACTGCTGGCAACCTGTCTTAGATTAAAACACTGAGTATAAAGGACTCATTAAAAGTATAAAGGACTCATTAAAAGTATAAAGGACTCATATAAAGGCTGTGGATGTATACATATACTCACAAGTATGCACAACAAAATTGAATATCAAATTAAAAATCATAGAATTACAGAATAGTAAAGGTTGGAAAAATCTCTAAGATCATCTAGTCCAACCAGACTTTTATTACCAACATTGCACACTAAACCATGCCCCTAAGTACCACCTCCTTAAACAACTCCAGGACGATGACTCCTCCACCTTCCTGGGAAGCCCAATCCAATGCATCATCACTCTTTCTGACAAGAAATTCTTCCTAATATCCAACCTGAAATGTGAATGTGAATACCAACGTTTCAGTTTTAACAGAGAATCATTACCCTACCATTATTTTTTAATTTTATTTTATTTCATTACTTTTCCTCACTGTATCACATATAATGGCGACTTATACATCATCCATAAACTTTTCTGGATCATAGTTATCTAGGAAACAAAAGAAGCTGTACGTGAGTATTTACAGATACTTCTCCAACATGGCTGCATGTTCAAACTCTTAGAAATGAGGCTGGGATCATCTTGAAAGGCTACCTAATTCAGTTTACTAAAAGATTCTTTTCGGTCCACAAGAAGAAAAAAAAATCCCGGAGGTGCACATATTCAACTTGGCATTACTGAAAAAAAAATAGTCATGAAAAATTGTGCATTAATCTGGCTCGTTATTTCACTATAACATTTTAGTGTTCTGCTTGCTAGCCTAAATAATAAGCCAGTATAACATGTAGCCTCATCAATGCTATTGTAAATAAATACAATTGTGAGATCATTAACTCCTCTTATTTTCTTACAGCTACACTACAGGTTGTTATTTAAAACACTGAAGAATTATCTCATAACCACTAGTAATACACAAATTAATGCAACATTAGGATAAAAATTTATAACCATAAAATCACACAGATCCAAATGAAGCTTGTTCCAGACTATAAATTTAGCATACACAAACATGTCTGCATTTGTATGCGATAGGGAAAAGGTCTAGATTTACATGAAGTATACATTGTAGAAATTCAGAAATAATCTGTTTTTCTAGATCTTTATATATGGATATAGAGTGAATACTAGTTCTATAAATAAAAACACCTTGTCATACAGCATATTTGACTGTTTCCCAAGTAAAGCAGTAGGTTTTAAATTTTTTATGAAAAATAATCTTATATCCCCTGTGTTTTATTAATGAAGGCTCAGTTGTCAAATCTCTAGGAGATTCAGTACTAGTAAGAATTTTCTGACATCAGCACTGCACATGCTAAGTGCATGTTAGAAAAAAAAATAAAATCCAGTTGCACACTTTCAACTATCCATGCACTGTAGTAAAGCTCATTTTCTTTGCTGATTCATGTTACAACACACCATTCCTAGATAAGTCTCACAGCATCAGTAAAAGAAAAAAGACCTTTCTTGCTCAGAACTTTCAATCAAGCCTGTCTCCAACATATATTAACACCATTACCTTTTTTTTCACCTAAAATGACACTCATGACTTCCTTTTAAATAGCACTATGTTGCATAGGTATATTCAATGTGCCATTTAGTCCCTTTGTCATGGAAGCGTTACCACAGCAAGAAGTGACATTAAGTCAACACTAGAAAAGTCAAGCTGACAATAATATTTTCATGTATACATTGTTTCAGAGGTTCTGCATGAATTCTGCATCTGACAAGATAGACAGACATCAATCTGATAATAATGAAAACCTCAGTAAAAAAGACTAAAAATAATAAGAAACATGCCATCAGAGACAGACTTTCATATGTAAGCTTTTTGGGAAGTTAGATGGTTCCAGTATTTTCAGTTTTCATTTGATCTCACTGAGAATCTGGCTTGTTTTTTTTTTTTTTTTTAAACACTAGTTAAAACACAGGGACATACAATATACTTTCAGAATCAGAGGCAAAATATTTCTTAGTCCAAATAAAAAGAATATATCTAGGATAAAAAAACAAACAAAGAAAAACAACAACAACAAAAAAAACCCACCTGAATAAAGGAAGCTGAAACAGAGAAGGGAAGAAAAATAAAATATCCAAACTAGTATCTTTGAAGCAGTTTACAAAAGTAAATTGTTGAATATCCCTTCAGGAAAAGAACACAATTATGTACTTGCACACAGCTTCAGTGCCAGAGCCTATTGTCAAGTTTTGATGAACTGTTCTGCTGGAAAGACTTGATGCACATATGCAGACACAGCTCTCAGAATATCCCATTTCTATCCAAATATTCTATCTCTTCTAGTGATGTCTCCAAGAAATACCATCCTTTACTTCCTCTTTACTCTAAGCATTCAGTGGTATCATAGCCTGGATGAAGGCACTAAAATTATTCTAATTGAAAAGCAATTATATTTTAAATCAGAATATGGGTAGCTCTTGAAACAAGTTAACCAAAGAAATGGTAAAAGCTGATTTCTTAACCAAGAATTGATCTTCACATCAATAATTTATGCCTTTTTAGTCAGACATGCCTATCAGATACTAGTTACTGAGTTTAGTAGATGCCTCAGTCAGAAATCTATTATACATGAATGAAAAATGAGATGCTATCTGCCACTGTTGCACACCATGAAGCTCATTATCATCTATGTTTCAAGTCCTAACTTCAGATGTATTAGGTATATATGTATATGTATGTATGTATATATATGTATATGGTTAAGGATTACCTTCCTACACGCATAAAAATACCAAGTTTTCAGCTTCCTTTCCCGAAAGGCCTTTCACTGTTAAGAGTGAAGTACTGAAAGTGAGAAAAAGTAGACTTAATGCTTGTAAAAAGTCTAGGAACAACAAGATTTTGCAACAGATTTTGTGCTTTCGTTCAAGTACATAATACTTTGGAGAGTAAAGGTTTTGGTGTTCAGCATTAGATGTTGATTATACCAGGATGTAAAGTTTAATAGATGATACTACTTCCCCTTAAATTGTTTTAAGAACAATGCTTAATTAATTCTACTTCACATATTAAGATAAAGAGGCAAAAGAACTTGCAGTTGTAAAAATAAATTGTGCTAAGATACCTTTGTATGATATCTTTGACTGAAACTTTATCTGCTGTAATGGTAAAACTGAATTAACTACAAGGAATGTCGTAATTTCTTAAAATTACTGAAAGTCTTCCAGGTCGCTTACGTATATTTTTATATGGCTGTTTGTTCCTTATATTAGAAATGAAAATAAAATGATAGATGTTCTAACCTGCTAAAAGGCTTCAGATTGGACCCAGGACCTGAAGTCAGATCTACGGGATCTTTCTTTTTCTGTAGAGTCCTTCCCTTGTTATTAATGAATTTATACACTTCATCAGAAATACAAAAAGTTATGCAAATTATTTTAGTCCATGTGGTTCTCTAAATCCTTTATGTTTTACTTCTGTTCCTCATGCCTGCCTCTCAAGTCTGTGAACTTTACAACTTTAGCCCCTAGTGAAAATTGCAATCATCTTGATGGCAGTAGAAACACAGCTCTCAACACTCACATGCTGTCATGTGACAGAAGCTTTTGGACAGTGGAACTTGGCTCATTTGACAAATATTAGGGTTGTAGCATCTTCTTTCCAAAGAGATTTAATTTCCTCTTAAGCAAACAGATGCTTTCAGTCTGACAAAAAAAAAAAAAAAAAAAAAAAGTTTACATTAACATAAGTGTTTAACAAGTCTGAAAACAAACCCTCTTGTGACATGCTGAAATAGAGAGGAAATGAAACTCTGCCCTATGCAACATCAAGTTCTCAAGAAATGTACATCCCTTCAGTGTCTTAGAGAGAGAGTTGTATATAAGCTGTCTCTCTTATGTTATGGAGTCAAGAGAAGTCTGAAGTTCATTCATTCAAATAACATCTTGAAAAACATCCTGGAGATGCCACGTGGTCCAACATATGTAAAAGAGTTTGCCAATTCTGAGAACTGAATAAGGAAAAACCAAATTCAAAATAGCCATGGAAAAACATATGTTTCTTTATCAACTAGACTCTGTCTCCATAGAGATATCATCAGGTTCTTTAACCCAATACTAGACTAGTCACATTGTTAGACGCTCCTAGTAAAGGAAATTGCAGCACTTCTAGTTTATCTTTTTGTGTTATGGATATTTTAAAAGATAGACAGTGGATGTGTTCCAGTAATGTCTCCCAGAACAGTGCTGCAGTCATAAATCTCACATCATACTAACTCCACTTAGAGTAGCTTACTTTTATGTTGGTAGTACTTTCCTGCAACAAGTTTAAAATACTTTTTTTATATACTATACCTACTAGTATTTGCTTTATAAAACTTCTAATGCACTATTTTATTCATTTTATCTGTGATGCACATTCCTATACTGCCTTCCTCATTCATGTTCTCAATGTTAATTTCAGAAGCAGTCAGAAATGATAATGCAAAAGCAATAAGATTCATGAACATGCACTATGAATGAAATTATCACTTTAGGAAGTCTACTGTATGCTTCAGATTCAGTAGTTTATTGCTAAATGTGCTCTGAAGCAATGTTTTTTTTCCACTGTGATACATAAAAATAGAGTCTTGAGTACTCTGCTCCTCTGGTAATGGATGAAAAATGCAATAATGTTTAAATTTATTCTGCTACTTGGCTACCCAGTGAGCAGGTCAATGTTAAATGTGTTTGGGAAAATGCTGCAATACTGTGAGTACCCAGAACTACATATTCAAGCTGTTACAGGCACACCTAAACGGATGTACTACAATAACTTTATGATTATTTCAGTAATTTGAATGCATTTGCTTTTGTTACCTTTGAACGAAGAGAATAATTTCTAAAATTTGTTGTTTCCTAACAGGAGGGCACCTCAAATCAATGCAAAAATGGAGGTGCCTGCTTTACATACTGCAAATGTAAGTAGGCCAAAAAGTCAAAGGAGTTGTTTACAAAGGATATCTTGGTGAAAAAAGATAGATTTAATAAAGATTCTAGCTACTTACAAATAAATATAGAGATTGAATCTAAACTAGTTTTAGCCATTAATCAATTTCTTTCTCCTACAGTTGTTGTGAAAATATTAAACTGATAGGGAATTTTATTGTACCTGTTTAGCGTGTTGTTTTCTTTTTTTCTTGTAATTCGACTAAAACCTGCCCTACCAAAGTAAGCGAGGAAGAAAGTCCTGAGCATCTCCAAAGCACTGCCTTATCTCTGGTAAGGATAGAATCCCATCGTTTTATTTAGAATATCTACATCTTAATCTAGCCTTTAAATCAAACTTGCATTTCTTCTTAGTAACCAATGCAATATTCTTCAAGTACAGGGAAAATTTTTCCTGCTAATAACCCCCACATATGAATTTCTGCATCTTATCAGGCAAGAAAAGAGGATTAACTCAGCTATAATTGTATATTTATTGCTACCATTTGAATGGTTTTTTCTTTCCGCACACCTTCGTTCAGTTGCTTCCACTTGACATGCTTAGATTGGCTAGTTTGGCACATAAAGAAGCAACTACATCCACATACTTAATCAACCTGTGATGCAGCACAGAATTTATCTATCCATATCTATCCAGTCACACTAAAATAGCACTATTCTATACCTAGTGGAAGGATCTTGGACACTTGGTCTCAGTATCTTGGCTGTTTAATCCTGGCTAGCATGTCCAGGTCTTGTCTCTGCTCCCTGGGCAGTTGCCCCTTGGTCTGCAGTGACAGAAGGGAACTGAAGGCTGAGGAGGATCAAGGCTTAAACTTGTGGGTGTAATGATATATTTCTTCTGTGATGATAGCCTTCTTCTTGGTCTGTGCATGAGACCCCTTATAACATTTACTCATGAAGACAGTGAGTACATGATAAGCTCACAAGGAAAGACCTCAGAACTCAACAGACCTCAGAAGTCTTTGCCAGGGAAGAATACTACCGTGTAGAGTAGCAAGTTAAATAACTCTAAGTGTGTTTGGGAAGAGAGCTTATAAACAGATTTTAAGAGCATTGCAGATTTTAAGGTGCATTGCAGTAGCTTTCCAATCAAAGCAGTCCTATGCTACTGCTTTGAGTCCATGTAGAAGTATACACTTACAATGATTTGGTACAGCAACCATTACATACTGCTGTAAACTACAGGTCTCTAATATCATACTAAATAAAACTACAAGAGAATTCTAAAAGTTCATTCTTCAAACATAGCCTGAAATACTTCTGTTAATATTTATTGAGATAAAAAGCTTTACAAATATTTATTATTCTATTAAGAACTTCTTGAATAGATAAAAGTTGGCTGCAAGTATCATTTATTTAAGGATTCAACTTTTAATCAGTTTGAACAGAGCTCATAAGAATTAAACATTTGAAGGTGATACTCCACAGTTCTATAAAGAAACAAACCACTGAATGATTACGTATCTATTTCAACTGCAAAAAGGAATGTCTTTCCCCAACATTGGATTGATCACTCAAATATCTTACAATATATTGCAATACTTAAGATGCAAGTATTCTTTACATTAAAATTACTTTGCATATTTTAATTGGTTGCAAAATATGTGACAAAATAATTGCTTAATTATTTTAAAATAAAACAAAATACAAGAGAAGTTGAATTCCATTACCATGTAGGTAATGCTGCATTAGCTGGTAAACTACTTTTTCATCAGTTTTATAGTTATGGGAGCTCACATATACTAAATTGCCTCTAGGTAGGTATATTTTTGCTTCATGACATCAGTAGAAACTGATCAGGAATTGCAAAGAAAACTAATAAAGATGCCAATGAAGTTTAAAGTCAGTATATTCACTAATTCATTTCATAAATTAACATTTAATTTCAGAAAGATTTCTTGCATCTTGTATACCTCAAAAATAAGATGTGAAAATAAAGGTTAGTAAATATGATTTATAACAATGATTTCACAGTTTTGCTTTATTATGCCCATATAAAATGCAAAGATAAAAAGATCCAAGCACCTGCTGTATTGTCTGGACCGTACAGCAATTTTCTTCACACATTATCTGAAAACAACCACTCCAAAGTTGAATATCAGAATTCATATTGACTTCAAAGAAAAGACATATAATAACTTGGTTTGTAATTTGGCTTGGAGTTACCACTGAAACATTGAAAGTACGCCTGGAAAAAATAAAAAATACAATAATCCTTGAATTAAGTCAATGTGAAGTTGCAACAACTAATTCAGTGCAGAAACATTACAGGAATTAAGAAACAATCTAGAAAGTTGAAATTCTGTTTCTTCATATGATAATGCAGTCTTTTCTCAGTTAAGGCAGTACTTTTAACTACCTTTTCAAGAGATCGGCATAGAGAAGACTAATTAAATCACAGCAGCATCTTAAAAGTCTACAACTAAATTAGAAACACAGATGAAACTGAGTCTTAGACTCTCCCTGAAATTAAAAGGAGTTAAGTACTTTTCCCAATTCACAGGAATTCACAGGGAGCTCTGAAGTGACAGTCTAATAAATTGCAAACACTGGTGGCAATTAGAACAATGGTAAACTGATAGAACACTTGAAATACAAGAGCTTATTTCAGTTTTACTATATTGCTATTAGTTTCTAAAGGTGGAAAAAAAAGCTGTTTAAAAGATTCAAGAAGAATATTAATGAGCACTAGGGGTACTTTGTATTTCAAAATAAACACTTGAAATGTTTGTGTCAACCATGGAAGTTTCTGACAATCACCAACTGTATCAGAGCTCCTTCTTTCCCTTACAAGTCTTCTGGCAAAGGAAAAAAAAAAAACAAGCTATCAAAATTCACCATCACATCAAAACAACTTCAACACAGCAAAGCAGAAAACATCCATTACTTAATTTCAAAACCTTTACCTTCTATCAAATGCTATACCTTAATCACATACAGTACTTCACAAAGTATGGAGATCACTGTGGAAGGAATGCCTCCATGGAAACTACAACTAAGAGCACAATAATGCTATTTGATAAAATATATTTTCAGCTACAAAAAACTATTTTTCAACACAGTCAGCACAACTAGTTTTGCATTTTCACCACGAAAACCTAAGCCTGCATGCTGCATTTGTAAAAATCTGCACTAGCAGAGGTGACCCACTGTCACTGCCACCACTACTGAAACGCACTGCCCACCACCTCACTGTGCTCACATCCACTGTTCTGTTACCATCAGTGTTCAGCAAGCGTTGATGAGTGTCAAGGGTGACATCATATGGAGGAATTAAAATTACATATCTTTCCTTCACATGCACTTCCATGTCAGACACCATTTTGTCAGACTGCCCCTCCGCGGCCATCTGCCACACAGTAAAAAAATGTAATCAAATATTGTTGGGAAGGTTTAATTTCTACTGCCATATCACATCTGCCTCTGACCATATGGGCCAACATAATAAAACAGGAGACATTACTTTCAGAGCAGACCTTGCATAAACATGTATATTCTTGTTTAAGAGTGCTATCTAAAGAAAAATCACTTTCCATCTCTTATCTCCTTCCAGAATCTGGAATCTCTTCTGCTCAAGCAGCTTATTACTCCCAACCTCTAAGTGTCCAATCTCAGTTGAATCCTTTGAGACTGCAGGAGTCTCATGTTCCAGCCGACTTGCAGTTTCAGAATCTCAGCTTCCTATCTGAGGAGTCATCAGAGATTGCATCAGCAAATGGGAGGTAAGAGAATTTATCACCATTTTAAATTATTTGATTATTCAAAACTAAAAAGATCACTTCCTAAATCCATGAGGGGGATTTCTTTTCTTCCCCCAGTTTTGAAAAACACATATAAAAGACTATTTCTTTCACAAATTTGAGGAATTGTGCCTGAATGTAAATGAAGAACTTTTGTTAGCAATTGCTTTTATCTTCCAAATCAGAGTTGTTTACTGCAAAACAGTAGAATACATTGATTCCTTTACAAAGAAATGTTTGTGACAATGTGGTTCATACACCTTTCAGAGCAAGAGGATGTTTTTTGTCTTAAGCAAAAAATCAACACTCCAGCAACATGGGTATTAATTGTTGCATTGTTTCAAGAAACAAGAATCTACAGGAAAAATAGAAACCACCTACATAACATTGTCTAGAAATTGTTGGAAGCCAATTGCAAAAAAATTGCGATTCTTATTTCACAATGCAAAGACTTCAAGTAAAAGCAATTCTTCCATCTTTCTGGCTTCTGAATCTTTACTTTTCTTATCAGTTTACTTCACATGTAGCAACTGTTGCTTTTAAATTGCAACAACTGCAGCCTCAACTGTTATCTGAACTAAGAGAGTTACTACCAGAAGAGTTACAGCTTCAGGGAGAAACAGCTCACGAGGAGACCAAAGGTGCTACTGCATCCACACCACTGTGCGGTGTGTGGGTGCTGTTGGGCATCAGATGTGACAGCTGCTCTCCCAGCTGTTGGTTTATAGCAGAGCCCTAATTCTCTGTGGTTGCTACAAGCAACTAGGATGCATTTCTCTTTTGATTGCATCCAGTGGAAGGAGAGAAGAAACAATCCAAAAATACACAGCAAGCCCTCAAGCTACTATTTTAGGAGACTCCTAAAGATTATCAGAGAGGAAATGCTAGCATTTTTATTTGCAAATAATGTAATTGCTGCAAATTAGCCATTACACCCATTAAAAAATAAACCTCCACTGTCATTTGGAAAATGTTTTCATTTTAAATCCTGTATTTTCAAGTCAAGTAAGTAGGACTGTGAATTAAAAAAAAAAAAAGAAGTAACTCCTTCAGGTGAAACACACGCCTAGTTTGGCTCAAATGTCATAGAAACAAGCATATATACATATATACACTATATATATAGATATATATATACTATAATTAGTTATATCATATAGTTTAGTCATAAAAACATACTCATCTAAGAAGACAATTAGTATTTTTAAAATAAGAAATTTTCGTGACATTTCAGTTAGTGTTCACTAAACAGTAGGAAAAATGGAACAACAAATACTTTAAATTATCATCCCACCTTTTGGAGTGTTTTGAAAGGAGAATGAAGAAACCTTAATTTGCCACTTAGAGAAGCAGCCTTTGTATTTATTACATGCAGTAAAAAGATCTTTAAGTTTCCATTTAAAAACATACAGGCAGTCTTAACCCCAGTCCAGTCCCAGCACCCTGATCCAAAAAGCACTGATGAGTAATGTGCACTCCAACATTGTCAGAGCACACAGCTGTTCTACTCATGCTATACAAATTCCTTCTTGTGAAAATATCTCTGGGACAAATCCTATCAGCTTAAAGAGGGCCAAAACTTTACTCTAAGATCTACTCTCAAACTACTTGCCAACTACAGCTCCCAAATTCAGATCTCATTTTTGGGCTTAATCATCGCAGATTTGTTATACAAAATGTCTTGCATAAGACCAAAAGAGAAGAGCTTGAGAGGTAAATGATATTTAAAATAAACAAACAAACAAACCCTCAAAAAAAAAAAAAACCCAGAACAACAGATGACACAAAGCTGAGTGGGCTTTTTACTGCATATACTCTGTGTGCTAATCTTGCTAGGTAAATTCAGAGCAGTAATAAGGAGCAGTCTTTTAGCAATAAGAAGAATTAACACTGGCAAATGTGATAAGGAAAGTAGATCAGTTCACTATGGGAGCATGACTGTATGTGGAAATTTTCTCATATCTCTTACCTTGTGCACCAAAGTAGAAGGAAAGGGCAGTGCTTTCTCCTTCTCTTCATCTCTCTCTTGGCTTAAAGTCTGTAAAATGTACTCTCAAGAAAGTCAGATTAGATGCTCCTATCTGAAACAAAAGCCTGTGTTCTTTGACTGCACTGACAGCAAATAGACAATAAGCTCCATAAAATTAGGACTTCTCTGAATTCTCAGCCTAAATTTAATGTTAACCTTTAACATGAAATCTGCATTTCATAAGTAGGTGCCTTCTTGATTTGATTCTTCTGTTGACTACATCATATTATAACGAGCTTTCCTAAAATATAAATCATAAATATTTATAGCATCTCACTCTCCCTTTGATGTGTTCCTCCAATTTGAAAGTGGACAAGGTCTTAGGGGTATTAAGGTGTTGTTTCTTGTTTGTTTTCCAGTAGAAATTTACTTCTAGTAAGAAGAAAATTATAGTAATTATTCCCTCAGTAAAGGAAATTCAGAAAAAGTTTAGTCCAAATCGATTCCAAGAAGCAGTAGCCAAATATAAAACAAAATAATAAAATCAAATAAAAATAAAAAACTGTGTATTCTGCAGGTGTACAGCACTAGACAAAGCAGACAATGCCTGCTCCAATGATTGTATGGCAAAATATGCAAATGTGGGCTGGTGTGCAAGGACTGATGTCCGTAGGAAAGAGAGTTTCATTACTTCTCCTACTAATGGAACAGTTTATTTTAACTTATAAATGGTCTAGAAAAATGCAATGGCCATTAGTAATTTGGAAAATTATATTTGATCATTAAAGTGTGAAATAGAAAAATATATGTCTGTTCTAATTAAAAACGTTAATGCAAACTTTACACCAGAGTTACCTCCAGCTATATCTGCAAGTGTCTGCAGAAAATTTTTACAATGCATATTTTATATATGCCAGGAGTTTTTAAACATTGGAGTTAAATGGAGAGGACAGATACAAATTAATGGAGATTCAATTAAGATGTTCATAATTAAAATCTGTACACCAAAGATTGATCAGTTTTTATGTTCTACCTTTTCACACTGTATGAAATGAGAGCAAAAGTTGGTGCAATCATAAAGCAGGCATTTTGGTGCTTCTCAAAAGTAATCTCTCCACATGGTATGCACTCAGACTGTGGGTTTGATGGTGAGGACTCCAGACCTGCAGCACTCTATAGAATTACTCCATTACAAATCAAGTTTGTAATTATGAGATATAACTGAAATAGAAAGAAACTGCAATGACGGTCAGCAGTGATAAGACTCCTGCTCTCTGCTGCTTCTGATAGAAACAAACCAGTCTCCACTATGAAATATCTGTTTGTACCATCCAAGGGTACTTGGGAGCCAGGTTACTGCCATCTGTGAGCCCTTTCCTCCATTCAAAGTACTTTGATTACCCTGACATTACAGATATGGTGCTCTCAAGTACAACGAGCCATTCTAGCTCAAGTTATCAGTTCAAATCAAAGCATAGGAAGTAGCAAAAAAAAAATCGAAACACGCCATATTTCAGTGTCTGACAGAATGTCCATAATCTCTGTAAAACACGTTGAAGGAGGCAATTACTGAACTGGGCATTAGACAAGTGACTTGAAAGACAGATAAATAAACTGTTGGCTGACATATACACACAACTCAATTTTAACTGGCATTCTGGGACATGAGATATCATTTGCATCTTTACTGCACAGCAGGAAATATCATCATGGAAGCCAGCATATAATAAGGAGCAAAAAAAGAAAAGCAAGTGCTTTTCTTCATCAAATGCTAAAGGTCTTCAACATCTAATAAACGTAACTTAGGGATGATGTATATGTGAAAGACCTCATCCTAAATACAAATTTATAGAAAATTGTATCTCAGTAAATTTCTTCAGAGTATTCAGAAATCAGCAACATTCCTATACAATGCTTACTTTCAAAAAAAGTGCTATGTTCCACTCGTAAACACTGATTTAGGTTGGAAAACTAGGCTAAGTCTAAACTTAACTACAGTGCTTTATAGGATTTTTGTTGTTGTTTAGCTCTATGAAATTAAAGTAACAGCAGAAAAAGTCAGCAGTTCTGCGGCTTCCACATTACTCTGATGACACAATAAGGCACCAAATAGCATATGTAGAAGCTTGCGTGCTATAAAGAAGGGAAGAGAGAGAAGTGAGGGGAGGAGGGATGTCAAAATGATGGCTTAAAAGAAAAACTGCCCAGGAAAACAAACAAGATGTCAGGGGGGCAGAATTTTAAGGAAAAGACACAAAGAATCTCAAATGTGTCTTCTTGAGGGACAAGTCTCATAGAAGAAAACAGGTTGGAATAAAAGACAAAAATAACACTCAAAGCTATATGCTTCTGGACTGTTAAAGAAATATATGCTATGTAAACAAAAGGCATCAATGTGAATAAGGAAGAGATGTTCTTCCCCAAATTGAGTATATGCTTTTGTGGTATATAAACATTCAATACAACTGAATTTCAGATGCTTAAATAAGCATGTAGATAAAAATCTGGATTATGTCACAGCCACTACTTGTCTTCTTATCTGAAAGCAAGCTGATCAGCACTGCATACAAAGACTTTCTTCATAGACACAGGATCAGTTCAAATGTCACTATTCCTGGATTACCTGTCTGCCACACCTTTCCTTACATCATGATATTTCTTCCTATCATAATCATTTGGGGATTCTCTTGCACATACTTCAAAACTTACCTTTTTATTCTGAGTTAATATATTCATCCACTTGACCCCCCCCCAAAAATGAAAAGGTGGATCAAGACTATCACTAGAATTGGGAAATGCCTGAAACTGTTTTGATGGAAAATTAAGCTTATGAAGTTTAATTTAGAGCTAAATTTGAAATGAAACAATTTACCATTTTATAATTACCATAAGAAACCTGAAATGAAAAGAGTTATTGTAAATGAAAAACAGAAACTTTGTCTCATAACATTTTCAGAACATCATGATCTTATACCAAGAATAGCCTCCTTCCTTCAGCATTACCATTTTAAAAATAAAATGTCTCACATATTTATTGAGATAAACTCTAATAATTTTACTTTAGAAACATGTTGAATTATTCAATTCATTTTAAATTATTCTGGATTTTTTTTTTGCGGGGCTGGGTTTCTTTGTATTTCTTTTTAAAGCTTTTCCACTTTGTTCCCAGTTTACTTCAATTCATTACTTTTGTTTTGAAGTGATAGGATATGTTCCATACCATCAAAGATTCAACATAGCAAAGCAGTGACTGACAACATGCAAAATCCAGGCAACTGCTATTTGAAACTTTTGATTCTGAGAATAAAAATATGCATCTCAATTTACTGATGTCTTTACTAGCTTTAATAAAATTTTGTATCTTAGAAGACATAGAAATTTCCATAGTCAGGTCTTGTGCTAGGCAACTTTCAAACAATTATTGAAAGAGCCCATTTCTCAAAGACTCTACAATATAAGAAAATCTATATCTAGTTGACTGAACTTGTATCCTCTTTCAGTTGTGTCAAATTGATGCCTGAGCAGTTTATATTTCCGAGGTTTCTGTCAGGGAATCGTGTAGAAAGAGAAATATTTGCTTAAACATATAAAATTGGCAGATTTGATAGAACTTACAGATGTAAGCAAAAGAGATCAGAATCCTTAGGAAGAGTAGGAAATAGAATCTGGACAATGATGTAGATCATATATGGGTTAAACACTCTCCTTGGATGCCTGTAATTTCAATCTTGACATGAATGGCCTGATCATAATTAATCATCTTAAATAAGGAATCGTAGTTAATTATCTAAAAGTTTTGGTGTCACACACCCTAAAGTTCAGTACTGCATACCCTCTGCTCAGCCAAGATGCTGGAATCACCCTCGAGCCATATCTAAAACCCTTGTCAGACTCAAAATCTTGTCATCCTGATATTTGAGTGATATTAAAGTGATCTTAGGTATCTGTCTGAAGAGACTAGTTGTGCATCCAGTTATTGCTGCTTCTTCCATTTGCAGCATCCTGCACATTTTTTGTAAAACAGCCTAGGGCTGCTAAATGAGTTTGCAACTTACCCAAATGCTCTATTGGCCTGGTTACAGTACACTGCTTCTGATCTTTTGTATTATTCAAGAAGCTACAAGGCCACATAAACAAGCAAAAGTTTATCTTTGAATCTGGGCTATATATTATAGCTCAGCACTTGTGTGCGGCTCTTATTTATTCCAAATCCAGTCCATATATATTCCAGAAAAACAAATTAGATTGTTTAAAATGAGTGCATATGTGGTGGTTTATAGATATATATCTGAATTCAGGATCAAGCTGTTATTTATAAAGATATTATTAGTTAAATAAGTACCAATATTTACAAGACAACAAAATAAATAATGTATTCTTTTACGAATTATGCCTTCACAGATTTTCCCAATGTTATTCTTTCCTTTGTGACAAATGGCTACACTTGAGTCATTTAGAAGAAGAATTTTTCCTTTCAAATCAATGAAGGTTGCAATTCTGATTTGAGTGTTTTGGGAATGCTGTCAGTTTCTGAATTACAGGTTCCTGTACGCTTGTCTGACTCAGACTTATAAGCAAGGTCAGACACAGCACTGCAAGAATGGCATTGTAATTAGAAAGGTGCTTATTCTGTCAGCTAGGTGTAAAATGCCCCAGCAATGCACAGTGAAGCCTTTATTTTACACATAAATTAATTGTAATAACTATCAAACTACAGCTGGCAGGCCGGCCAGCCAAACTCAGTCGGGAAGTTCATATTGTCAGAGCACTTCTATTGAAAAAACAGCATCTCTACAAGCACGATCTGCAGATATTCAAAGGGAGAAGAAGGAAAGAGAAAATGCCAACTTAAGCTCCTGACTTGAAACTGCTGATACTCTAAATAAAGTCAAAAGAGTAACACAAAAGGCCTTCAAGACCTTCTATGTGTCAAAGCGTAAGATTAAAGACTGAATTTTGGGAGGTCTCATATTTTTGAAAATTGCACCTAATAAACTACAAAAACAACCATCAGTTTCTACAGCTTCCACACTTTTATATATTTGATAATCCCTTTATCCATCTCCTTCTGATTTTCCCTATGGAGATGAAAAACAG